GGTCTGTGCCTCCGTGGCTGCTGGCTGAGGGGTCTGTGCCTCTGTGGCTGCCAGTTGAGTGGTCTGTGCCTCTGTGGCTGCCAGTGGAGTGGTCTGTGCCTCTGTGGCTGCCAGTGGAGTGGTCTGTGCCTCCGTGGCCACCGGATGAGTGGTCTGTGCCTCTGTGGCTGCCGGTTGAGTGGTCTGTACCTCCATGGCTGCTGGCTCCATGGACAGGGTCCCCATGTTGGATAGCTCCGTGCCCAGCTCTGTGACTGCCCCTCCTGCATCCAGGCCAATAGAAGGCCTTGTAGCAGGCTCCACGGTGGTGGGCTCAGGAGTTCCAGGCCCAGTCAGAAGAGGGGCGTTGGTGATGTTATTCAGTATTTCTGGAGCCTCTGTTTCCGGCACAGGCTCATCATACAGGTCATAATCTTCAATGGCCTGTCTCCGGCCCCGGGCAAGCAGGGGGCCCAGGGCCTTCTTGGCTCCATCTGCCCAGGGGTCCCGCGGCTGCAAGCTGCTGCTAGGGCCCAGCAGGATCAGCAGCAGGAGGAGTTTCAGAGGCATGGCACCTGGGGGGAGATAGTGGGTGGAGGGACATCAAGACAGCTTCACCCACGGCTTAGCAAGCACCCTAGACCACCACCCTCTACTGCCATAGTGGGAAGTATGTCTGGTCTGGAGCAGGGACTGGAGATTTAGGCTTCCCCAGGCATCCCTGACATGCCGGGTATGGAGAAGACCCTCATCCTGTAGCACTTATTATTATTACTAATCAACATGAATAAAGCCATGCAGGAAGGCCCTTTAACTTCTAGATGGCGCATAGAAATCAATTTGCCTCTCTCTTCTTTTTGGTTAAGACATTTTATTTGTAGACAAGACAATCCATTTGGGGTGTAGAAAGAATTAGTGCTTCTAGTTCTATTAGCTTTTCATGTCACTCTTTTTTTGTTTGTTTGTTTGAGGTAGAGTCTCACTTTGACACTTAGTCTGGAGTGCAGTGGCACAATCTCGGCCCACTGCAACCTCCACCTCTCAGGTTCAAATGATTCTCCTGTCTCAGCCTCCTGAGTAGTTGGGATTACAGGCATGAGCCACTGTGCCCAGCTGATTTTTGTATTTTTAGTAGAGATGGGGTCTCACCATATTGGCCAGGCTGGTCTCCAACTCCTGGCCTCAACTGATCCGCCCACCTTGGTCTCCCACAGTTCTGGGATTATAGGCAGGAGCCACTGTGCCCAGCCTCATGTCACTCCTTCTTAATTTATATTGTTGCATCTATTTATAATCTATCATAAGAATAAAGTGGTACCTGTATAGAATTCATAAATAGATTAACTGCCCATTACAAAGTCCACAAGCAGAATAGTTCGGAAATGACAGACCTCCCAGATAAAACTGCTTATTGGACATCGAGGCCTCCTGGAGTCTGATTCTGCCGGCTACCCCCTCCCTGCCCACTGCCATGCCACCTCTACATGTCTCTCTTTTTCCTATCTTGGCTTCCACCCTCCACAGCCCTTGCCAGTCCTCAGAGTCTCAGTTTGTCTCATTCCTTCTCAATGTCTTGGCTTGGTCCTATTCCCTTTGGTGGTGTCCTCACTTGCACAATGCACAACAGGGATGACAGTGCCTACTTCATAGGCTATTGTGAGGATGAAGTGAGGGGATGTATGCAAGACCCTTAGCACTTTGTTTGCATGGCAACTTCTCAGCAAAGGTTGGTTGATTTAGTTCTTTCAGTCAACCTGTACCGTAAGTCTTTAAGGGCCCAGAGCCATTTAACTACACTCTCCATGGCCAGGAGAAAACTCAAAACTTTCAGAACAACCCTGCTCTCAGGGAGCTTAGAGTCATTGAGTGTGCCTGTGGGTAGGACACTGTCTATTCAGAGACTCTACATTGTCCTCCCTACCAGGGAGCCAGAAAGGCATAATCTCAGCTCACTGCAACCTCTGCTTCCCAGCTTCAAGCAATTCTCCTCCCGCAGCCTACCAAGTAGCTGGGACTACAGGCGCACACCACTGTGCCTAGCTAATTTTTGTACTTTTAGTAGAGATGGGGTTTCACCATGTTGGCCAGGCTGGTCTCAAACTCCTGACCTCAGAGATCTCCCCGCCTCAGCCTCCCAAAGTGCTGGGATTAAAGGGTGTGAGCCAATACCTGGCCTATGTTGGTTTCAAACATGCAAATCTGATGACATCTTTAACTAATTTATTTCTATTTATTGATTTACTTATTTATTTTAGAGACACAGTCTCACTTTTCACCCCATCTGGAGTGCAGTAGTGCAATCATAGCTCACTGCAGCCCTAACCTCCTGGGCTCAGGTGATCCTCCCACCTCAGCCTCCTGAGTAGTAGGAACTACTTGTACATGGCCCCACACCCAGCTAATTTTTAAATTTTTTTGTAGGGAAAAGGTCTTGCTATGTTGTCCAGACTGGTCTCAAATTCCTGGCCTCAAACAATCCTGCCTCGGCCTCCCAAAGCATTGAGATCACAGGCATGAGCCACCACACCCAGCCCACATCTTAAAATAATTTCTTAGAGGCCATGCGCGGTAGCTCAACCCTGTAATCCCGGCACTTTGGGAGGCTGAGGCAGGCAGATCATCAAGTCAATAGATCGAGCACATCCTGGCTAACATGATGACACCCCATCTGAAAATATAAAAATTAGCTGGGCGTGGTGGTGCACATCTGTAGTCCCAGCTACTCGGGAGGCTGAGGCAGGAGAATTGCTTGAACCTGGGAGGCAGAGGTTGCAGTGAGCTGAGATCACACCACTGCACTCCTGCCTGGCAACAGACTGAGACTCTGTCTCAAATAATAATAATAATAATAATTTCTTAGGGTGGGTGGAGTGGCTCATGTCTGTAATCCCAGCACTTTGGGAGGCCGAGGTGAGCTGATCACCTGAGGTCAGGAGTTCAAGACCAGCCCGGCCAACATGTGAAACCCTGTCTCTACCAAAAATACAAAAATTAGCCAGGCATGGTGGCAATTCCCTGTAATCCCAGCTACTCGGGAGGCTGAGGCAGGAGAATTGCTTGAACCTGGGAGGCAGAGGTTTCAGTGAGCCAAGATCACACCGCTGCACTCCAGCCTGCGAAACAAGAGCAAAACTCTGTCTAAAAAATAAAAATAATGTCTTAAACCAAACTTGATGACATTTGCACCCGCACAGTCATGCCCATTTTATCAAGGATGACACTGAGGTTCAGAGACGTGAAGTGAGAGGTGAGAGGTCAAGATCAGACTGAAACTCAGTGAGGTTCAGGAAGGCGTAAAGCTGTCAGGGGAGACCCGACCTAGTTGAGGAGACAAAAGACTGGGCTTGTGGACGTGGGTGGGCGAGGAAGGACACAGCAAGAAAAAGCGGGAGCTTGAAAGCTATGGCCCCCAGAAAGGCCAGCCACATACTTACCAGGTGCCGTGCAGGGCATAGGGTTGAAAGCGTAGTCTATGGATTCAGATAACAAGGCTGTTCAAGTCCCAGCTTTGCCCTTTACAAGCTGTGTGACCTTGGCACCGATGCTTGCTTCCCTGAGCTTCCGTTTTCCCACCTGTGAAATGGAGATAAGAATCACCTAAGTAATTAGAGTTGTCATGAGTATTAGTGTTTATGTACCTGCAATGTAGCAATCCTCAATTAATGTTAGCTCCAGAAACAGCGCCCTTCTCATAGGGCTGCTGAGAGAATGCAACAAGGGGATGGGTTCAAAAATTCCAGGCTATTGGGCGTGGCAGCTCACGCCTATCATCCCAGGACTTTGGGAAGCTGAGGTGGGCGGGTCACTTGGGCCCATGAGTTCAAGCGTAGCCAGGGCAACATAGTGAGACACCCATCCTGACACAAATAGAAAAATTAGGCCAGGCATGGTGGCTCATTCCTATCATCCCAGGACTTTGGGAGGCCAAGACAGGTGGATGGCTTGAGCTAAAGAGTTCCTGACCAGCCTGGGCACCATGGTGAAACCCCGTCTCTATGAAACACACAAAAAAATTAGCCAGCAGTGGTGGTGCTCCCCTGTAGTGCTTCCCTGTAGTCCCAGCTGCTCGGTCTTGGAGGCTGAGATGGGAGAACTGCCTGAGCCTGGGGTGATCGAGGCTGCGGTGAGCCGTGATTGTGCCACTGCACTCCAGCCTGGATGACAAAATTCTCAAAAATAAATTTTAAAAATTTTAAATAGGAAAATTAGCCAGGCATAGTAATGCACGCCTGTAGTCTCAGCTACTCAGGAGGCTAAGGCAGGAGGATTGCTTAAGCCTGGGGGTTGAGACTGCAGTGAGCTGAGATCGTGCTATTGCACTCCAGCCTGGGTGACAGAGTGAGACCCTGTGTAAAAAGAAAACAAAACAAAACAAAAAGACAAAAGTTCCAGGCTTCTGATAGGTGCTTAATAAATGTAACACACACACACACACACACACACACACACACACACACACACACACACACACACCTTTGCTTCCCAATTTACCTTCAGGGCAGCAGAGTTTCTTTGGGGTAGAGTTCCTATCTGGGGTAAGAATCTACCCCCCGAGCTTGGCCCCACTTTTCTGGGGCAGGGACTTTGGGAAGAAGCCACCAGCTTGGAGACATATTTCATCGTTATGAACACACTCACAGCCACCAACCCCCACTTAGGCAGTTCTCATTTCCTAGAAGGCAAAGCTCTCAGCCAGTTCCTGGAAGCAGAGAGGGCAGGGGCAAAATTGCAAGGCCTGGCCCCCCGGGTTCCCCGGTCGAGGGGGGCATCTAGGTGAATCAGGACAGGACTTGCTGCAGCCCAGAGGCTGGGAGCATAACACAGAGGGCTCTGGGGCCGTGTTCTTCAGGTGAACTGTCCCTGTGGCTGACCCTCCCCTACGCCCATCACCACAGCCTCCTGCACACAGAGACAGCCTGGGGTGGAGAGTCTGGGGCCTGAATCCCACACTCACCCCCACTTAGTGGCTGTGTAAACTCAGGCAAGTTGCTTCTCCCTCTCTAAGCCTCAGCTTCCTCATTGTCAAACAGGCGATATTGCTCAAAAAAATCATCATGAGAATTGAATGAGTGTATGGAAGGTCCCAGATGCTGGCTTCCAACAGGGGGTACTTTACTTGGGGACCCTCTTCGGGGCTGCAGGCAGAGGAGCAGAAGAAAGGGAGGGCTCAGACTCAGAGGGTGTGGAGATGGCAACCTCCCGCCCTTCCCTGTGGGCATTCGGGCTTTCAGAAAGCGGAGAGCTCCGTAGCAGTTGTGATAGGACCTGGTGCGCTGGGAAACCACACGTCTCCTTTCCTGGGCCCGTCTAAAGCAGGCACCTTATCCCACATGCTCCTGGTGTCAGTACTGAGAGTCCCTCATCCCCAAAAACCCCTCACTCCTAGGCAAACTGGGGGTGGGGGTGTGTTGGTCACCCCAGCCTGGTCCCTGCCATTCCATGGGCTTCAAGACACAGCAGCCTGGAGCCAGGCCTCAGCTGAGCAGGCATCAGCCCAACTAACAGGAAGAAAACCTGAGTCTCAGCCGGGCACGGTGCCTCTAGCTTGTACTGCTAGCACTTTGGGAGGCTGAGGGGGGAGGATGACTTGAAGCCAGGGGTTCAAGACCAGCCTGGGCAATGTAGTGAGAGAACCCT